GAAAAAAAGAAAAAAAGTGGCGCGGGCAGCGGGTTGGCTCAAGCCTGTAATCCAGCCACTTGGGGTGCGAGACGGGCGGATCACGCGGGTTCAGGAGATCGAGATCCATCCTGGCTAAACACGGTGAAAGGCCCGTCTCTACTAAAAAGAAAATACAAAAAACTAGCCAGGTGAGTCGGTGGCGGGATGCCTGTAGTCCACCTTACCTCCGGGAGTCGAGGCAGGAGAATGGCGTGAACACCTGGAGGTAGGCGGCGTCTCGTTGCAGTGCAGGCTGAGGGATCGGCGCACTGCACTCCAGCCTGGGCGACACAGAGCAGACAGGCTCTCAAAAAAAATAAATAATAAAAAGAAAAAAAGTAAAAAAGGAAATGTAAAAATGCTGCCCTGGAGGATACAGAGGGCCATGGTGCACTCAAAAGCCGTTCGCCAGCACGTGGTTGTGGCAAATTGTGGTGGGTGAGTGATGGTAGCTGCCACAGGAGAGGGGCACAGGGAGAGCTGCAGGTGACTGGGGATGGGTTGGGGCCCTGGGCTGGCACCAGGCATGCACTAGGGCCTGGCTCTGTGCCTGGCACATAGAAGGCATTTGATACATATTTTTTTCTTTTTTTTTTTTTGAGACAGAGTCTCGCTATGTCGCCCAGGCTGGAGTGCAATGGTGTGATCTCAGCTCAGTGCAACCTCTGCCTCCTGGGTTCAAGCAATTCTCCTGCCTCAGCCTCCCAAGTAGCTGGGATTACAGGTGCCCACCACCACGCCCAGCTAATTTTCGTATTTTTAGTAGAGACGGGGTTTCATCATGTTGGCCAGGCTGGTCTCGAACTCCTGACCTCAAGTGATCTGCCTGCCTCGGCCTCCCAAAGTGCTGATATTACAAGTGTGAGCCTCTGAGCCTGGCCTGATGGCCTGATATATATTTCTTTTTTTTTTCTTTTTCTTTTTTTTTTTTTTGAGACAGAGTCTTGCTCTGTTGCCCAGGCTGGAGTGCAGTGGCAGGATCTCGGCTCACTGTAAGCTCTGCCTCCCAGTTCACACCATTCTCCTGCCTCAGCCTCCCAAGTAGCTGGGACTACAGGCACCGGCCACCACACCCAGCTAATTTTTTTCTTTTTCATATTTTTAGTAGAGATGGGGTTTCACCGTGTTAGCCAGGATGGTCTTGATCTCCTGACCTCATGATCCACGCACCTCGGCCTCCCAAAGTGCTGGGATTATAGGCATGAGCCACTGCACCCAGCCTCTATCAGGCTTTATCTTTCTCCACTCCCGGATCGGAGCTCAGCCCTGAGCCCGGAGCACTTTGCTCTCCCCAGCTCCTGCTCATCTATGCCCGCATCTGACCCGGTTCCTGCTGAGAAATGCTCTGTACTGGGGACAGGGGAAGAGGGTGGCGTGCAGTCCCACGCAGGCCTGTTGTCTCCTCCTTCACACCACACAGGGGACCCTCAGCTCTCAGAGGCACTCTGGGCAAGTTTCCCAGGGCCCCAGACCTTAAGGTTCCCTCTGCAAAAATGGGTGGGTTCAGCTGGCCACGTGGCCTCTCTGGGCTGATCCCTTGGGCTCAGCTGCACCCCTCGGAAGGTTTTCCTTTGGGATATGGGCATAAGTGAAAAGTAGAGCCATACCCTCCAACCCATTGTGGGCATTCAGTGAAACCACGTGTGTAAGATGCTTTGTTAATTGTAGAACGCTGCACAAGCTCATCAGGTCCCTCACCCGTCGGGCAGGCTCTGTACTGCAGACACTAGACACGAACAAACCACTTCCCCTGCTTAGCACTCAATTTCCGTATAGTGAAATGAGGATTATTTTGGCACTGTGGCCCATGGTTCCTGAGATTTGAAAATGAAATCATGCAAAAAACTCCAGCACTTTGGGAGGCCGAGGTGGGTGGATCACCTGAGGTCAGGAGTTCAAGACCAGCCTGGTCAACATGGTGAAGCCCCGTCTCTACTAAAAATACAAAAATTAGCCGGGTGTGGTGGCAGGCGCCTGTAATCCCAGCTACTTGGCAGGCGAAGGCAGAAGAATCGCTTGAACCCGGGCAGCAGAAGTTACAGTGAGCCAAAATTATGCCACTGCACTCCAACCTTGGTGACAGAGCGAGACTCCGTCTTAAAAGAAAAAAAAGAAAGAAAGCCTGATAGAGCAAAATGTGCACTGCCCAAAGGTGATAGGAAACCCATGTTGATGTTGGTTCCAGCAAAAGGTGCATGGGGAAGAGAAAGGCCTGCGAGGAAGGCCCGGCCAGAAGCCAGCCAGGCCCAGGGGTGGCAGGATGGTGGGAACACTGTCCTGCTTCTTCCTCTGTGCTTTCCTGATGTTCTAGAACGGATGAGAAACCTTTAAACCAGAAAAATGCGGTTGTATTCTAACAGTAAGTGGGAAGAAAAGGAGCCCCGGAGACAGCCGGCTCTTGCTTTGTCTGATTCTGAGGCCACCCCTTGCAGGCAGTGACTGGCTGTGGGGTCTCACCGTGGGGTTTGCCTAGCAGCAGGCACATCCCCCAGAGCAAGTGAACCTGCAGCAGGAGGCCTGTGTTGTTCTTATTCCTGGAAATTGGGTCATGGGAGCCCAGGCCTGGAGCTCCTGGAATGTAGTGCTCTGAGAATTTTGTCCAAACACCTCTGACCTCCTTCCTCCGGAGCTGGTCCAGCCTCTTTCTTCCCCTGCGTCCCCCATGCTCCAGTCTCTTGGGCAGTTGTCGTGCTTCATATGTGAGCCTCACCTTCCTACTTCCTGGCCTTTGCTGATACTGGTCCCTTGCCCTCCTGAAGAGCCTGTCCCCTCCAGCCCAGCTGCTGCCAGAGCCCCTACTCCTTAGGAAGCCCCTCCTGCCCCTTCTAGACAGAGGTGCCCCCAGGGCAGGAGCCAGGGCTGCTTGTTTCACTTCCATGCTGAAGCCCAGTGGGCGTGGTCATCCCTGTTAGCTGTTGTCGTTACAGTCCCAGGCCTCAAAGTGCCTTTCCCACTATCCTCCTACACACAGGTCAAGTTCTGCCTTGCGGTAGCGTTATTTGTCATCACGTCTGAGCCTTGATCCTGGGTGGGGTCAGTTTCTGTTTCTCTCCTGGCTTCTGACTCCGTACACAGTATGCTTTGTACCCAGTACAGAGCACTCATCTGTCCATCCGTTCTTTCAGCAATTACTCCCTAAGTGCCTATTGTGCGCCGGTGACTGAGCTAGGTGGCAGGGGCACAGCTCTGCTGACATCAGGGTGTGACAGCTTGCAGTTTGCATGCATGTGTTTTATGCACGCCACATGTGTTTTGTGCACGCCACATGTATATGCACACAATATGAACATCTGCATCACATATAAACTAGCATCTCTTAGGCTGTGCAGTCCTATAGGTACCTTGAGCATTCCTGGTTAATTCATTCAGCGAGCGTTGACAGAGTGCCCACCAAGCAGGTGCCAGGTCCTGACCTGAAGTCTTTGTCCTTGGGAAGCACCTGTCTTGTGGAGCCATTGCAGTGAGAGCTGGTGCAGAGGGTGAAGGGCAGGGGGTTGGGGCAGCGTCCTGGAGAGATGGGAAAGGGGTGAGGAAGGGCATTTCTGCCAGCTGGGGTATGCTCTGGGATCCGCTCTGCGGCCCTGGGGGCATCCCAGGTCTAGGAAAGCTGGGCCGGAGCTTCTCACTTTGGGAGTGCAGGTAGCCCCATCTCTTTGGTTCCACTGCTCTCAAGAGCCCCAAAGGGTGATGAGGCTAAGAAGGTAGGAGTGGGCAGGAGCCCTGCTGCTGGGCACCTCGAAGAGAATACGAAGTACAGTGTCCCAAAGGGGAGACTCATGGACACGGGACTTGTGATGGAGATCCTTCCTTCCTTCCTTCCTTCCTTCCTTCCTTCCTTCCTTCCTCCCTCCCTCCCTCCCTCCCTCCCTCCCTCCCTTTTTTTTTTTGACGGAGCCTGGATCTGTTGCCCAGGCTACAGTGCAGTGGCAATCTCAGCTCAGTCTCAAAAAGCAAAAAAAAAGTAGAAACTCCAGATGCAGACAGAGAACCTGGAATCTGGAACTTAGAGGAAGAAACCTGGAGCAGCAAACCTAGAATGTGGGTCTTCCAGAACATGGAGCTCGGAGGCCACCACCCTCAGTGGTCAGTGGGGAAACTGAGGTCCAGGGCATGGGAGATCGTGAGCCTTGATGAGCAGCAGTGGGCACACCGGCGGCTCTGCTGAGCTGGACTGGGATGAGGACCCCCGCCACAGCCTGCTGGGTTCCTGACCTTGGGCACATCCCCTCTCCAGGCAGAGGTGGAGGGAGAGTAATTGGGAGAGGAAAAGAGACAGGGTGCCTTGTTCCAGCTGAGGGGAGGCTCCTTGGGTGCCCAGAGCCCCAGGCAGCTGTGCGCTTGCTCTGTCAGGACCACCCCCAGCAGGAAGCTAACTGTGACGCTCAGGTTCCCAGATCCCAGGGCAACGCTGCCACCCTCCCGCCCAGGAGCTGCAGGCTGCGGGCAGGTGTGGCCTTGTCAGCTCACCAGGTCCCCACGGTGGCAGAGCCACGTTCAAGCCCATTCGCTTGCTCAGCAGTGCACCTGCAGCACCAGGCACGAGGCAGTGAACACACAGCCGTGAGCTGCGGTTCAGACGCTAACCGGGAGGATCCTAACTGCTGAGCTGCTCTTCCTTTCCCACCTTCTTCCCATAACTCCTCCTGGCCATGAAGGCTCTGGTCATTTCCTGTATCTCCCCTCCGCCACCACTACCCCATTGGAAGGGGCCCTCAGGATTCACGTAGCTAAGCTGCCTCATTGAGGTGTGACAAGCCCAAGTTGGCGAAACAGGCAGGACTAGGATCATTGGCCACTTGTGTGAGCCCCAGACAGGCCTGAGAGCCCTGCAGCATTGACTGGAAAGTGTGGGTGTGTGAATTTGGGGTGGTCATTTGTTCATTCAACAAACTGAGGGTGAACACCTTTTTTGTGTGGGGCTCAGTGCTTGAGGCTGGGGACCCAGGGGTGTCAGACAGCACTGCCCTTGTGTGGGGCAAGGGGTTCTGGGAAGTAGGCCGGGGCCAGGGAGGCCTGGAGAAGTGCAGCTCAGCCGAACCCTCCAGGAACAGGCGCGGAGATTGAAGCGTGAGGCCACGTAGAAACTTGTGTGCCTCCTTGAGGGACTTGGACTTTCTCCTGAGGGCAGACTCCTGCCCACTCCGAGCTGGGGAGGGCAGCGTCACATGTGGCTTTCGCTTGGCTCATCAGGGCCGGGTCGGGGGGCCCGTTGAGGAAGCTGCTGCCATTCCCGGGAGTGGTGGGCTCGGGAATGGGAGATTTGGGAAGTGCAGGCAGTGGGACGGACAAGCCTTGGTGGTGGGTGGAGAGGGGCCCAGAAGGGGGAGCATTGAGAACGCCGAAGTTGTCACAGTGTCAGTCTCTTGGTGCCGGGCTTGAGTCACAGGTTACCAGTGCAGGTTGTTGGGACAGCCGTTTGATTTTTACCTTGTTTGTCACAGAGGGTCTCAGGCCAGAAAACCAGGCCTGGTGTGACCCAAAGCCCATGCCCACTGCCCTCCTTGCTGCCCAGCCCAGATCGTTCCCAGCAGGTCTGCACCTCTCTGTCCCTCACTCCAGCTGGCACCGGGCCACCTGAGCATGCAAGCGTGCCCGCCACCTGCTGCCCTGTACACATGGATGGGTACCGGGGGAGCAGCATCCACTCCTGCTGCCTAGGACTCTTGGACGAGACCTTTACCTCCCACCTGGTGCGTGAGGGCCTCTGCCAGCCAACAACCCCTCCACTGGCACCCAGGGTACAAAGTCCCCAATGCTAGAGAAGGCCCCAGAGAATGCGCAAGCGTGGGGCGCGCCCTTCCCTTCATTTCCCCCCACCCCCCATTCGCTCAGCCCGCCAGCCTGGAGATGGAGCTGAGACTCTGTACTGAAGTGGCCCTTTGTACGTTGTCCCCAGAGGATGACGAGTCTGGGCGGGAGGGGCTGGCACTGCCGGGGCTGCAGGGCAGGGCAGCACTGATCTCAGCAGGGCAGGGGCTTTCTCTGGGGCCATTGGGCAGGGGAGGAGCGCCTGTCAGGCGTGGGAACTCGCAGGCTGGGCCTGCACCCCCAAACCAGAGAATACTTGTCCCTCCAAGTCTGTTGCTGCTTCTCATCCGGTCTCCTGTGTCTTTGGACTGTTCCATCATCATCCAGCGTCTGTGCAGTGCCTGCTCCTGGGCAGGCTCTGTCCTGCGGGGTGGGGAACAGTGGTGACTGAGGCCTGTGGTGACCCTGCTCTCCTGTGGCCACGCCAGCAGGATGAGGGTGGGGGAGACATAAACAACAAAGCGGGATCACCTCCACAGCGATGAGTGCTGGGGGGCGGTCTGGAGAGAGGGCTTGCGGGCAGGGGCAGCACTTCAGCCGGCTGCTCGGGGCGCCTGTCTGACGCATGGCATCAGAGCATGCAGGGACCTGAGGAAGGGAGTTCCAGGTGGAGGGATCAGCCTGTGCGAGGGCCCTGGAATGGGGCCACACCTGAAGAGTGTAGGAGACAGGAAGGTGGGGAGCGTGGCTGGGGCCTGGGGGACAAGGGAGGCAAGGTCAGCAGAGACGCAGGCATCAGATGGCCAGGGTCCATGGAGCACAGAGGAGTTGGGGTTTTAATTCTGAGCGTGACGGGGCCACGGGAGGGCTTGAGCAGGGAGATGTGGCCTGATGGAGAATTTGCGGTGAGGGGCTGCTGCAGAGGCAGGAGGGAAGCTAGTGAGAACCTTGGGGCGGCAGGGAGGCAGAGAGAGGTCCATCCTGGGAGCATTTAGGAGAACAGGGCCTGCAGGCCTTGCTGCATCTCTGCCAGGTGAGGCCGCACCCAGCTCAGAGGACTGGCCTGTGTCAAGACTGTTCGGATGTTATCCGTTCTGATCTCCTCGGGGTTGGGATGGCCTCACATTGCTGATAGGGGCACTGAGGCCCAGGGTATTCAGTGACCTGCCCAAGATCACGGAGGAGGGTTTGGAAGGGGCAGGATTTGAATCCAGCCCCTTTTGAGGCTAAACTCCAGAGAGCTATGGCCCTAAAGCAGCCCCCGCCCCATGCTGACTCCTGAGAGATTGGCCGCAGAGGGGACTAGCTCAGGGTCCAGGAGAGCCCTCTCACAGAGGCAGAAACACTCAGCCCGGCCCCTCCTGCCCGGCTTTTCCTGGCCCTCCTTTGTTATCTGGCCATGGCCACCCCCGCTCAGACCAAAGGCCCTGGCTGCCCCTCTGCCTGGGAGGCACCACATCTCTGGGAGTCCTGGGGGTGGGAGTGGGGGCATTCTGACCTTGGAAGCCAGGGCAGGGCAGAGCTGGCCTCTCTCCCTTCTCTTGTCCAGATGGACTGGGGCAGTTTATTCGGGCCTGTAAGGAAGGCTGAGTGGGCTGGGAGGTGGGTAGGGAGCTGAAAGCCCGAAATACGGGGATCTCGAGAATTTATCTTACGGGCCTCAGTGGGTCCTGTAAGCATGGGAACTTTAAATCTTTGTGGAGGGGCTGGCAATACGGGCCTGTTGATGAATTAGAAGAAGTTGTGTTCCTTCCTTCCTCTAACCCGAAGCTTTGTTAATAATTAATTATCTGCCCAATTAATAATTACAGGCTTGAGCAGCCCCTTCCCATGCCCTCGCCTCACTCCAACCTCGTCTCTGTTCTTCCTTCCTTTGCCTTCCCAGCCCCCACTCCTACCCCCACCCTTCCGGCCATCAGTCCCTGCCAGCCTTCCTCTGCAGAGAGGCCCCTGTGCCCTTCGGAGTCCCCCTGTCCCCGACACTACGCAGGGCATCGGTTCTGTTCTTCCCATGAGGGCCTTTCGGCAGCCCTCCAGTGCAGGCGCCACACAATCTGACAAACGAGGCACAGGGGCAGAGGGGCAGAGGGGCGAGGGGCAGAGTCACACCGTACTCATTCACTCATTCTTTCACTGGATGCTATTGCGCTGTTCTCTGCGCGTCAGCCACCACTGTGAGCAAGACAAGCAAACAGGAAATTCCTCTCCAGGCTTAGGGGACAGCATGGGGGAACTCCTGAGCAGGCTGGGCTGAGGGCAGCCCCCCAGGGAAGGCAAGGGCTAGGAAGAGGGAGGAGTCCCCGGAGGGCGAGGTATTGGAGGGTGGGGCTTTGTGTGCAAAGCTCCCCAGCAGCAGGAATGCTCAAAGCTCTGGGCTCAGCCTCCTTCCAGGGTAGGGTGTGATTTCTGTCTTCACCCTCAAGAGGGGTGTTTTCCACACTGGGGAATGAATGCCTTGCTAAGGGCGGACCCTTGGGCTTGGAGCCAGCAGTACAATAGCTGTCTGGCTGTCTCCTCTGGGCAGAATCGAGCCTCTGCTCCCACTCCCAGAGAGACCCAACTCCCTCCAAAAGGCTGTGGACTCCTGGGCCCCCTTGCAGGGGAGGCAGCATGGGTTCAGGCTCCCTGGCCCCTGCCCTGTCCCTGCCTGGTACTTTGTCAGACACTCGGGGTCCTGCATGCCGAGAGTTTATTTCTGAGCTCTTCCAGGCATAGGGTGTTCCTTGGTTCCCTATCCTTGTCCCACTGAGAATATCCAGCAGCCCCTCTGGGAGTCGGGGCGCAGTTCTCGGGGACCCTCCCACCCAGAGAGGGAGCAAGGCGAGGCTCACAAGAGATGGACCTACATTTTACTGAACACTTGGTCCTAACAGGCTCTACACCTGTAAAACCACAATGCCCCTACCTCCTCGAGCACCTGGCACCTAGGAGTGGCTCTGGGAGGGTGGGGCTGCCTCTCACTGCTGCCTGGTTACCTGTTTTACAAAGGAGGAGACTGAGGCTGGAGAGGTGAGGTGACCTAGCTGGAAAGAGGTGGAGCCACAAAACCAGCCCAGATGGAGGGCGGGGCAGGCATCTGGCGGGACAAGGTCAGTTCCTCCTGCAGTCACCTAACTGACACCTGGGCTCAGCTTCTAGGGAGGAAACTGCTGCCACAGAGCTAAGGGTGAGTTGGGAGGCAGGCAGAGTTGGGAGCAGGTGGCCGCAGAGGGGACTAGACACTGTGCCTCAAGGCAGGTACCTGCCGGTAAGGGGAAGGAGGTGGCAATGCCTGGGAGGGCCCCAGGCAGGGGTCAGGCAGCTGCGATGTGGGCTGGAGTCTTGGGGAGTGTGGGCCACAAGGGAGGGTCTGATGCATGTCACTCATAGGGAGTGCCAGGGCTTGTCACTTTGACTCACTGAACTTCGGTTTTCTCCTCTGTGAAATAGCAGTGGGAGGCAGATGTCCACGTGAGGTTAGAGAACAGCTAAGGTACTGAGCATAGTCTGGTCAGAGGGCGGCTCTGGGGAAGGCCTCAGATGTGCTGTCCTCTCATTCCCCCTCTTAGTCCTGTGTGTGCTGCTATCACAGAATACTTGAGACTGGGTAGTTTGTAAACAGCAGAACTTTCTCACGAATCTGGAGGCTGGGAAGTCCAGGGTCGAGGAGCTGCCATATGGCGAGGGCCTTCATGCTGCGTCATCCCATGGCAGAAGGGCAGAAGTATCCACACATGGAGAGGGGCAGGGCTGACCCCATGCAGTTGTCAGGAAAATGATAACTAACCCACTTCGAGCCCATGCTGTTATCAGGAACGATAACAAACCCACTCCTACAGTAACAGCACAAGTCCCTCCATGAGGGTGGAGCCCTCATGGCCTAATCACCTCTTAAAGTCCACACCTGTCAACACCACTGCACTGGGGATTAAATTTCGTACACGTGAACGTTGGGGGACACATTTTTCAGACCATAGCACCCCCTACATGATTACAGGCTGGCAAGGGGAAGCTGTGGACACAGGGGCTTGGGGATCCCTGGGTCTGTGGTCAGTCCAGGCTAGCTGGAGGTCAGAATCAGGCAGACAGCAGCAAACAAACTCCCCAAGGAGGTGGTGCAGGTGGCATGGGACCCCTCCCTTGCTTGTCTCCAAGTTCTGGGTGATCGGGGCTAGGGGAAAATAATGGGGGTGGGGGGATGGAAGTTAAGGGGAGGAGGGTAGATGGACGAGGAGGGCGGCCTGGATGGAGATGGGCTGGCATGGTGTGGGCAGGGGGCAGACGGATGTGGAGTGCCAGCTCCAGGGTAGATCGGGGCAGGGGTCTGCAGTGTGGGTCAGGAGCCAGGGCCTCCGGAGCCTCCTGGAGTCGAGGCCTTACCTTGGAGGTTTCCTGACTTTTTGGACCTTGAGCCTCCTTTAAGCTGCAGGCGACCCCGACATGGCACACTGTCCAGGGTGACCCGTTCCTGTTGGAGTTGGGTAGTGGTGGGAAGGGCTGCCCTGGGTCCCCTTGGCCTTTCAAGGAGCTCTGGCCTCTGGGAAACGTAATTCCAGCCTGGCCTTGCAGTGTGCCACGGGGATGCTCACATGGTTTTAGGCTGGTGAGAGGGGCTCAGGAGGTTGGCAGGATGGGCAGATGCAGCTTTCCTGGGCAGCGGATCGGATCATCTGCCAGAGCTGGAGAGCCCTGTGACCTGAAAATGGCAGGCCCATGGGGTCCTGATGGCAGCTGGGGTGAGAGGGGCCCTTGCCTGGGGCAAGGCTGAAGGCAGCAGCCTGGACTTTGCCCCTGAAACTCTGAGAAGCCCTGAGGCCTCAGATGGGTGTGGACCTTGCTGCTGTCACTTGCCAGCTGTGAGTTTGAGGCCCTGTGTGCCTGTGGAGGTGGAATGAAGCGAGGCCAGTAGCGCTACAGTCTTCACATCGCCCCCAACCCTCTCAGCACCGAGCACCTTCCCTGCACACTGGCCCAGCCCCCACAGGCTCCCACTGCCTCCTGGCTCTGCACACAGCAGGTCCGTGGTCATGTGTGGCCCTGCAGAGGGGGCTCTCCTCATGAGGGTGGTCCTCTGCCTGAGAGATAAAGAGCCCTATGCCCAAAATGCTGCCAGCAGTACTCATTCCTTTGGCTAATCCCAAACATTCACTGAATGTTTGCTCTGGGCTCTTCGGGCAGGAGCTACTGCCCACTTCTGGCCTGGCCTGTTCCCCCAGGCCAAGTTTACGCCTCTCCATTCCAGGCTCTGTGTGTAAGAGGCAGTCAGAGCCCTCGGGCCCTCTGAAATGTGCACATGCACCACTAGCCCCGGGTGGGACATCCGCCCTCTGCTCCCTGATGTCCACAAGGTCCCTCTCTGCCTGGACTAGGGGCTGAAGATCCAAGACGGAAAAGCCCCAGCCCAGCGCCCCTGCCTCTCTGGAGTCAGAGAGACCTGGGTTCTGCTTGTGCTGCAGCCCCTACCAATCACCCCCTCCTCAGGGCCTCCGTCTCCTTGCCGGTGGAGTGAGGGATGAATTCACAGCAGGGCTTGCCAAGCTTTTTTTTTTTTTTTTTTTTTTAACTATAGAAGTTTTCCTTCAAACAGAATCTTGCAAGGAACTCAGTGTCTGAAATTGAAAAGCTGGGAGCATCTTCTTGATTGTGTTTTTTGGGGCGGATCCCTGGGCTTTGTTTTTTCTCCCCCTTCACTCCATGTCTCTCTCTGGTCCCAGGGAACCTGGAGGGGAGTTCCAGGGACCTGGCTGGGAAGCAACTGTCCTCAGTGCCCACAGGACCAGTTCATGGGATGTGTCTGTACATCTGTATATCGGGCCCTGAGGCCCGCCTTTAGCCCACCTCCCCTCCCGAGGTCTCCTTCTGCCAGTCACCTGCTTAGTGCCCCTGCACCCTGGTGTCAGGCAGCCCCCCAGAGCTGCATCCCTCCCTCCTGTAGTTACCCAATGCTCTATGAGCCCCTCTCAGCCGGGACCTCAGCATCGGCTCACCACTGCCCTGCCCCCAGCACTCCCCTTCATCACGGGCATCAGGTTGGGCGCCTCTGGGATGCTCCTTTGCTGCAGCTCCGTGGCTGTCCCCGTGAGGGTCCTCCCTCAGTGCAGCCCCATCGCTCCAGTGATGCTGGCGCGGTGAACCTGATTGGCTCCCTGCCTCCTGCCTCCCTGTTCAGTCTAAACGGCACAGTCTAGTGTAGGAGCCACTAGAGCATGCAGCTATTCAAATTCAAATTAAATTAAATTAAGCCGGGTATGGTGGTACGAGACTAGTCCCAACTACTCGCGAGGCTGAGATGGGAGGATTGCTTGAGTCCAGGAGTTCACATCCAGCCTGAGTAACATACGTCTCGTCTCTAAAAAACAAAAACAGAAACATTATGGAAGGAGCCTCTGGGGACGAGGAGCTGTTGTCCTGAGTGGACCAGTGACCAGTGCAGGAGGGGTGGAGTCCTAGCAGGGGTAGAGCCCAGCTTTGGGAACCAGTTTTCCCAGGCACTTGCCGGCTCCTCCGTGGGAAAGTCCTCAGGCAGCCTGTAGGGAGCTGGGATCAGCTGATGGGGATGGGTTTGGAGGGGAGAGAGTGGTGCACAGGGACTGGAGGTGGGGGAGGGGTGGGGTTGCCATGGAAAGGGCTCGTGGGATGGGTCTTGGGCTGAGCCTTTGGCAAGGCCTCCACCCTGGAGCTGAGCCAGCAGAGAGTGGGGCTGACTCCGTGAGGCCCAGACTTTTGTGGGTATTCTGGTGGCCTGAGCACCCTGTCTTCCCTGAACCCTGCCTGCCTAATCTAAGAACTGCTCCCTTTGTAGCTCTGTCTCTCCTCTCTTGGCCTAGTTTCTTCATCCGTGGGTGGGCACAGCAGAAGCTGTCTGACCTGGCCCATGGTGAACGGGATTTGCCAGGATTTGACTCTGGCCATCCAGGGAAGATGGAGTTTTTGACCAGGCCTGGCCCCTGAAGCAGACTTCTTCCCTCTGAGCGTGCTAGGGAAGCAGAATTTCCCGGGGCTAAGTGTCATGGTCCACTAGGCCCTCCCTCGTCCAGGCCACTTGTGTTGAGCCTGGAGCAGAACCCCCACATCTGTAGTCCTCCTGTCAGCTTGGGGAGTCTCAGTTTCCATCTGTTTCATTCCCATCAGCTGTGTGTGGCTGAGCAAGTCACCTAACCTCGAGGCCTCCATGTCCTCATCTGCAAAATGGAGACACACATAGCTGCATCCCCAGTGTCCACTGGTAGCTGGAATGATATGTTGACTACAGAGTGACCACTTTGTGTAGGCTTCCCTGTGGGTGGGTGTCAGTCAAAGGAGTGAGTCAGATGATGAGAGGGGAGGACAGCAGAGCAGCAGTTGTCTCTCCAGTCTTGCCGGGACTCCAGGATTGGCCATGTTCTGCAGCCACCGTCTCTATCTGTCTCCCCATGTGGGATCCTGAAACCTCAAGCTGCATTTAGTCTCAGAGTCCAGGGGAGGTGCTCACTGTCTTCTGACCCCTCAGATGCCGACTCCCTCTGCCTTACCCCGGGGAAGGAACCAGTAGCAGAAGCTCCAGGGAAACTGATGAAGGTCAACAGAAGGAGGAATTTCTAGCAGCCCAAAGGGATTGGAATGGGTGGCCCGTGGGAGTGGACATGCAGAGGCACTGGCCTGGGGTGAAGGCTTGGACCAAATTCTTACTCACAGGCCCTCTGGAGCCAGGAGAGGAGTCTGCAGGCCTCGGCTGGGCCACATTCCCCAGATTCTGGCCTTAGGTCCTGAATGCCTGGTGAGTTACTGAGAAAGGCCCCGCAGGCTGAGGGTGCCAGTCAGGATTAAGCAGCCCCCCAATTGGCCCACCTCCCTTTGTACCTTAACAAAGGTGTCTTTGTTACCTTTCTTAAAGGTAATAAAGCCGGTCAGGAGCAAAGCCTGGCACGTTCAGGGGGTCATCTGCATTTGGTCATCCAGCAGGAAACCCAAATGGAAGGAAAGAAAAAAAAATGCATTTATAGAACCTCTGCCAATGGCCAGATTCCATGCAGAATGCTTTGACACCATGGCTCAGCCAGGTCTCCCACAGGACTGCAAAACAGAGGGTGACATCTTCCTTTTACACTGGAGAAGACTGAGGACCAGAGAGGCTAAATAACTTGCCAAAGAGCACACAGCAAGTAAGTCATGGCACTGGGATTCAAACCAAATCCTCCAGACTTACGG